AAGTCTACCTGGCATGAAAGTAAATATAATTTACACAATTACCACTAATTCAATAGAGAACTAATTAAATCGTCTTAAGATAACTAATTAATTAATCAGTCCTAATTAATTAACGGCTAACATTAATTATGTGTTCATAATTGAAAATTGAACGTTATAAATTTTAACTAGGGTTGTAGATTCATGATCCATTTCTACAGGCGACTAATCGGGAGCTCTGATACCGTTGCCATGGAAACAGAATCTTCTAGACCAGTAACATTTCAAACGAAACCATGTTGTGACCAGTTTAGGCGTAACATATGAAAGTAAGTCCACGAATACGCGAATCATTAAGAGAGAAATTCAAAGAGGCAAATATTCTCACTGTTGCTTCTCAATTTATATATTCAAATATCCTATATGTTCATAAAAATCTTGACTTATTTCCAAAAAACAGCAATATTCATAATCCCGCCACTCCTGATTACCTTAAAAATTGCTCCCTATTTCTCAGTGAGAGTAGTTGTCATTCCTTGCGCAGCGTAAACAATCTCCGTCTTAGATTTCCCAATCACTCCACTTCCTTCTATTCAAAATCATTTTCTGTCCAGGCTGTTAGGTTGTGGAACTCGCTTCCCGCTCCTATTCGGCGCGCTCAATCTCTTGCTAGCTTTAAAGCATCAGTGAAAACTCATTTCCTTTCCCTTTAGTTCTACTTTTCCCTTTTCTTATAGTCCCTTTCTTTCCTTCAAACTTTTCATGGATATGTGTATTATTAAGTTTATGTATGTTTATGTAGGTATGTACATATGTATGTCTATATATATTTATGTATATTTGCATGTATTATTTATACCCATCTTAGTTTTGTTGTCATTTGTACCACCTACTCATTTTCTTATATTTTCACTGTCTACCTAAAGGTTGCCTGTAAGAGATTGCTTAGCGATAAGGCCGCCTTTTGTACTCGTCATTGTTATACATATTTTTATGGTAATTAATTTTTTCTGTAACTGGTGCAAAAAAGTGTAAAAATAAATAAAAAAAATTAATACTAGATTTACAGACAAACTTGCTGTCCCCAAGTATCGTTTAGAAAAAGTCAATAGGTCTTTTATGGGAATAGGTATAAAAATTTACAATAAGATACCAAAGGATATATTGGAATTACTCTTAAATAAATTCAAAACATCTGTTAAATTATATTTACTGAGCAAGGCCTATTACTCACTAAACGATTACTTGAATGACGAGCGTGCATGGCAATAGTTTTCATTTTCGGGATTTTCATTTAATGTTAGACATAGACACCTACATAAATACCTATGCATTGTAAATAAACTGAATTAAAAAAAAAAAGTAATTCAATTGAGTTTCTTGCCAGTTCTTCTCAATTGGATCTATATACCGAACAGGACGGTAGGGAAAAAAAATATAATGTAAACTTGACGTTTATAAGCGGCTAAAATGTCCTACATGAATAAATGATTTTTGAATTTGAATTTGAATCGCATATGCCTAAATCTTTAAATCTACGCAACGAATTTTGAAGCGGTTTTTTTTACAGATATAGTGATTCAAGAGGAAGGTTTATATATATATATAATACATGTACACCCGTGCGAAGCCGGGGCGAGTAGCTAGTTATTAATAATTGGCATTTATAATATTAATAAGATTAAGATATTGAAAACCAAATAGATTCCATGCGAGGAAAGTCGCTGTAAACGCCTAGTTAGACGTGAAACAAATATGTTGGTGACATTTTGAAATTAGTGCGAGCAAAATATGATAAGGAGAAGACTGGGCGGTGCAGGAATTAAGGGGATTAAGATTTCTTAGAGTTTGTATTACCGAGTTTGAATTAAACTTTGTTATGCGATGCTTGTAGTAATATAACAACGGCTAGGATAATCTATACATAATATGATGATTAAAATATATTATTAAAAGGGGTCCCTTTAGGCAACGTTCTGAAGATACTGGCAGCGTTCCCTCTTTGAATAGCTAGACTAATTCTTTGTCCGAGGTAGCTGTCAGCTCTTCGGTCTTTTGTGATGTCGATTAACCTTTTCGTTATTTCTTTGAAAAGTCTTATAGGGCTAGGACCTTTCGGACCAAAGGTCTCGACACCGAAAGGGAGTCATATTCGGAGCCTAGACCCCTGTATTTACATATTTTGGCTTTTTCAGCCGCTTCACATGCCGCACCAGCTCGGTTGTTGGTTCCATGTAGATGGGATGGGGCCAGCGTGTCTGAACACGTTGCATCCCATACCAGCACCCGGCCCATCTTCCATGGAATCAAACTCATACCGTCCGGTCTCTTACCATCGTCTCTTGCAATACCAGTCGGCTCAAGTAGACTTGGTACGTTGATGGTGGCAAGGGACCGGCGTATGATATCGTTAAGTGCGGCGTGTCTCGAGAAACGGCCTGCACTTTTTTGGCATGACAGTCCGTGATGTCCTATTTTGTCGACATCACTACCACAGGGACATTTGTGAGGAGGGCAGACCGGAACCCCAAGCCATAGACAGGTTGCTATTTGGAGCGTGTCAGACTCAAGAAGTGTTCCTGTATTTATTTCTATACATATAAATGAAATTGGAGTGTCTGTTTGTAATATTGAAATAACCGTTTTTTACTACACGCATATGAATATAAATAATACAAACAAAAAAAATACCTCAGGACAATTCACACAGCGCCATCTAGTCCCAAGCTAAGCAGAGCTTGTTTTTTTAAATAAATATATATTATACATAGAAAACACCCAGACACAATCATACTCATGAATACAAATGTTTGTGCCGTGCGAGGAATCGAACCCGCGACCATCGGTCGTAAAGCGATGTGCTTGACCGCTAGACCACCGAGGTCGTCTAATAATATATATATAAAGAAACAATAATAATAATAATAATCAACCAATCCTAAATAATAATACTAAAGTAAAATTCGGGTCCCCACCAACATGCTGCCCAACTTCATGAAGGAGGACTACTGGCCGGAGAGTGTGGTCTATCGGCGCTACCGTGGCAGATTGCCGTCGTCAGTGCCGTGACCATAGAGACAATTTTGTTTACATATTTTATTATTATTTCTTATGTATGTTAGTCTATAAGGTATTTATAATATGGGCCATATAGCCTAAATTAAATAAATAAATAAATAAAAAAAAAATGCATTTCCCATCCACCACTGCCTAGCATCGCCACCGCATTACTGTACTGATGTGTGTAAGGGACCCATCTCAGCATTATGCCATAACAAAATCCACGACGCTGATTTTCAGTGGAAGTAACCGTTTAGTCTCCCTAACAGGTAAATATAGCAATGAAAATATTAATTTAAAGCATTCAAGAAACCTGAAATTCATCGTTGTTTCGGCCGAATTCCTAAGTTGTACCTTCCGTTACACCTGTCAAGTATTTTGTTCAAATTGATTTATGATCTGAAAAGAAACATGCTTGTTGCCTTTTATGAGTAAACTAGCTACTCGCCCCGGCGTCGCACGGGTGTACATGTATTATATAAACCTTCCTCTTGAATCACTCTATCTATTAAAAGAAACCGCTTCCGTTGCGTAGTTTTAAAGATTTAAGCATACATAGGGACGGACAGCGACAGCGACTTTGTTTTATACTATGTAATGATTAGTTAGTGAAACGTTTACGTATAATCTGTCCCTATTGCTCTCGTGTTTGAGACTCGTTTTTGATCTCCATCAGAAAGGCATTTAGTTCATTGATTTATTTAAAGCAACACAATAGAAAACTCGCCAGTCGTCCTATCTTTGCAGACGCTTACAAGATATCCCCTCCACTAATATAAAACAAAGAGTCCGAATTTAATAATAATAATCTCAGGACAATTCACACAGCGCTATCTAAACCCAAGTTAAGCTAGCTAAAGCTTGGGTACTAGATAACTGATACAAATACGTAGATAATTTTTTTCGTAAATACATATTATACATACAAAACACCCAGACCGATACAAATAATCATACTCATGAATACAAATATTTATGCCGTGCGAGGAATCGAACCCGCGGCCATCGGACGTAAAGCGGTGTGCCAGACCGCTAGACCACCGAGGTCGTCAAATTGTAATCATTAATAATTATAATATTCAAAATAATTAAAACAAAACCTTTTATATTTACTGTAATAATAGAGTAAGCCAAGTAGAGCCAGACGTAAATATTTACGGCTAGACTTCGATCGAAAGTATTGCTATCCCGCTCGGGTGAGGGTAAACGCAAGTTCGCTGAACAGAGATAGAACGAACACTGAAGAATACCTACATCGTAATTTTATTGTATGGAGACACTTCTATTCATACTCAGAAACATTGGCGCTTATAATATTAGTATCCTACTAACTGTACTGTACTGTACTGTAAACGTAGAGTAAGCCTTTTTTTCGAACTACTCTAACGCTGTTGGCCGCGACTGGCCTTTACAGCTACACCGGACTATAGGGGGCGAGTGCAGATGGCACTCCAAACCAATGGAAGGACTTATGGAGCGGCTGAAGGACAACTCCCGCCTGACGGATACGACTTTCGACTGAGGGTATGGCTAGTGGTTTGAACCTCGGCTCAGACCGTCGTAATTTCGACCCCCGTTTGAATTTGACGGGGATCGAAATTACGGCGGCTTGAGTAGAGCAGAACATAAATATTTACGGCTAACTTTTGATTTAAAGTATTGCTATCCCGCTCGGGTGAGGGGAGACGCAAGTTCGCTGAACAGAGATAGAACTAATACTGAAGGAAAGTATTCACCTACATCATAATTTATTGCGTGAATACAAAACCGCAAACAGATAGCGGCTTTTTGTCCGAATGTATTTTTGCGACGGAGCCGCCGCTTCATTGTGAGAAGACACTCCTCTTAGAACTAAGCATACGATTCCGCCGCTGCAAAGTGAGAACACACTCCTCTTAGGATACCTTCTAGAAGAACACATTTAGCGGCTTTCCAGTAATATTATGAAGTACTGAACTGACCTGGTTTGATGCAGGACATGCCGCAGGCCGCGTCGCAGAGGCATTTCTTCTTCTTACTCTTGCAGTCCTCGTCAGAGGAGCACTTCCGCAAACATTTTTGTCCCTGAAAATTAAAAAGAAATTTATTATTTATTCTTGATCAGAGATTAAGTGCGTAGTGGTTTCTATATTGATCGCATGCCTAATCCTTGTTGTTAATTATATATAAGTAAATCAATATTTATTTAAAAGAGTTTCTTGCTCATTCTTCTTGTGATGAATCTGCGTTCCGAATGAGCGGTAGAATCAAAATATGACTATTCAAAAGTGCTTGTAATGAGTTTATTTGAATAAAGATTATTTCTATTTCTATATCTACTTGTCCCTTATGCCTTCTTTTTTTGAATTTTTAGGTTCTTAGAGTTAAGTTTAAATGGTATCTAAACGTAACCCTACGAATTTTGAGATTTATTTCAGATCTAGAGATTACCTCCCCTCCTACAACCTCTCAAAGTATACAGGTATACATAGTTTGGTGTATGTACCGTATTTATATTCATATGCATGTAGTAAAAAACGGTTATATCAATATTACAAACAGACACTCCAATTTTATTTATATGTATAGATTGAAATTAAATGCATGTGACATCGGAGGCACAGTTATTTCATTATAAAGTTAAAAAAATCGCCGAATTAGAAACCCAATTGTTTATTGTACAGCAGGGAAGCTTCTCCATTGTTGCCTGTACAAACAGTCAGCCAAGCGAGATTTTATTCCCTATTTTAATTGACACAAAGAAGACTCTCAAGGGAACAGCCGAAGTGCTAGAACACATAACGAAATAAATATATACATAGCACACCCAGACCAACAAACAATGATATTCATGAATATAAATGTTTGTCCCGTGCGAGGAATCGAACCCGTGAGCAGCCGAAGTAAAGACGTGTGCTAGCCAATGGACTACTGTCGCCGTCAGGGTAGTATAAATGTAAAACATACGAGATCTGTCAATAATCTAAAATGATGGTAACCAGTTAGTAATGTGGACTGAGGATCTTATTGCTATGTACCCTGGAAACTATTGTGATAAATTCTTGGTGAATTTGGGCTAACTGACCTGACCTCATCTTATCATCATCCACTGGTGCCCCACCAGCGTATACCGTTAGCGCAGGCGGGTGCACCATTACATTGTCATCCATAAAAAAGACCATGGGGTGTGGTAGCTTTGAGAAGCTATTAAAACTAATTACCAGCATAGTGGCCTGCACTTCATCCCGAGGACACTCTGCTGAGGGGAATTCCTGGGGTTCTTGTAGACGAACTGTCAGCAATTTAAGATGGTGAAGTATTATGTCCATTAGGTGGTGTGGTAACTTCCAGAAGCTATAAAAACTAATTACCAGCATAGTGGCCTGCACTTCATCCCGAGGACACTCTGCTGACGGGGAGTTCCTGGGGTTCTTATAGACGCGGCCGTCGTCGTCGGCGTCGGCTCGGACCTGCGTGGGTGTTGGGTCCTCGTCATCATCATCGTCGTCTGCCGTCGTTGGGCTCGGAAGCGAGGATACTGTAAACATTTTTTCTACTTAGTACTTCTAAATATATATAACTCAAAGGTGACTGACTGAGATAGTGATCTATCAACGCACAGCCCAAACCACTGGACGGATCGGGCTGATATTTGGCATGCAGGTAGATGTTATGACGTAGGCATCCGCAAAGAAAGGATTTTGATAAATTCCATCTCTAAGGGGATAAAATAGGGGATGAAAGTTTGTATGAAACTTTGTCAATTTTAAACCGATCGGGCTGACTTTGCATGCATAAAGCTATTACGACGTAGGCAGCCCCTAAGAAAGGATTTTGATAAATTTCACCCCTAAGGGAATAAATTAACGCGAGCGAAGCAGCGGGCAAAAGCTAGTCTTTACGTAAACGTAATATTCAAAAGAGATGAGGAATCCATTCGAGATGTGGTGTTGGCGCAAAATGTTAGGAATTTCCACGACGTACTAATGGGCAAACAACTGGGCATCAAAACCCATCTCTACAGAGTGCTTCCAAAGTCTGCTAATTTTGTTCGGTCAATTGGTCCTTCGGAAATCAGATAATTGGGAAAAATGTAAAATGTCATTGAATTTTTTTCGTTATTTGGTCGAGGTTAGGCAAGGGCACAGCTAGTATTTCACAACCTAACCCAAAAAGTCAAAGAAAAGTTTATTTGTTGTAGTTTCTTTAAAATTTTCACTGCGTCTTCCGGTCAGCGGTCGACACTCGAGGACTTGCCCCAAACGGCCATCTGTTCTACGAGCTATGTACCCTGCCCATTCCAACTTCAGTTTCGTAATTCTTCCGGCTATGTCGGTCACTCTAGTTCTTCTGCGGATCTCCTCATTTCTGATTTGATTACGCAGAGAAACTCCGAGCTTAGCCGAGAGGGCTATGCTATGGGCTACTGCCCTCTGAGTGACTCTCAGCTTGTTCATGAGGCCCATAGTTAGCGACCACGTCTCACAGACGAAGGTTTACGACCAATGTGTGTTGCCAGTGCTGTAAGTCACCACTGGCAACACACATTCGTCGTAAACCTTCGTCTTGATATTAAATTTATACATCTATACACATAAATAAAATTGGAGTGTCTGTTTGTAATATTGAAATAACCATTTTTTACTGCATGCATATGAATATAAATACGGTACATACACCAAAATAACATTTTTTACAATTTTTGTCTGCCTGTCTGTTAGTTCCGGTTAATCTTTGAAATGGCTGGACCGATTTTGACGTGACTCTTATTGGCAGGTAGCTGATGTAATAAGGAGTAACTTAGTCTACTTTTATTGTAAAAAAATAAAGTTAAATTCTACGCGGACGAAGTCGTGGGTGCAGCTAGTCTAAAATATATTAATATTGCAATGTTGATACAATTATTGATTTCCATTTACACGGATGGCTAAATATTCGCATGCGGAACATTGTATCAGTGTCGTGAATCAGCGGAATCCGACCTCCGCTCTACTGCACACGTCAGTCCTGCCCGGCCACGTGCCATATGAACTAGTAACGCTATAATATAAACGTTTATATTCAGCTGCTTCCCCTGCCACTCGCGCTGCCGGAAATATTGCCGGGCGACAACTGAGCGAGAGGGCTGAATGTAAAAACACGCTGCCACTCGCGCTGCCAGTCCTTTGAGTCACGCACGAAAAACCGACAATCGAGGGAGCGCCGGGCAGCGCGAGTGGCAGCGCCAATGGCATGGGAAGTGTTTCCACTCTCGCGCTGCTCACTTCCCTGCCCACTCGGGCTGAGTATAAATTGGGCATTATGCCCAATTACACATATTACATATTAACGGAAATACGATTTTTTATATAACTAACTAGCTATTGTACCCGCGACTTCGTCCTTTACTATAAAAAATCTGAATTCGTTAACGATAATAATGTTTTTATAGAAAAACTTTAAATCCAAAACACTGACAATATTATCTGATTACAATAATAATGAGTGCGTAGCGATTTCTATGTTGATTATCGCATGCCTCTTACTTGTTACACTGTAATTATTTATATAAAAAAACATCTATTAAAAAGAGCAACACACAAGTTTCTTGCTCAATCTTCTTGTAATGAGTCTGCATTCCTAATGAGTGGTAGAATCAAAATATGACTATTCAAAAGTGCTTGTAATGAGTTTATTTGAATAAAGATTATTTCTATTTCTCAATTGGATCTATATACTGAACTGGATGGTAGGGAAAAAAATAAAATTATAGTATAAGTATAAAGAATTTGACGTTCATAAGCGGCTAAAATGTCCTACATGATTTTTTTTTAATATAAATGAGTGCTAGTATAAAAAAAATACGACTATACAAAAGTGCTGATGTTAAGTTTTTTTTTAATAAAGATTTCGTAGTTTCTTGTCAGTTCTTCTCTATTGGATCTGTATACTGAACTGGACAGTAGGGAAAACATTTGACGTATATAAGCGGCTAAAATGTCCTACATGAATAAATGTTTTTTTTTTAATTTGAATGAGTGATAGAATAAAAAAAGTGTCTATTCAAAAAACTGCTTATTGTAAGTTATTGTAAGATTATTTCTAAAGATTTCCATTACCTAAAGATAAATTTATCTTTAACGAACACCCGACCTTGAGGTGAGTCGGGGTTGTATCTACTAGATCACGGCGCTGCTAAGTGAAGGTTGTTAAATTACTTTCACGGGCAATCTTATCCGTCTTGTGTAGCTACAAAATTACGATCATTCCCGTCTCTACCTAATGACAAAGGGCCTTTAATTAAATATAGGCCGAGATGAAAGAGATAACGTACTTTCATTCATCAAACAGATCTTTTACGACTCAATTTGATGGAATAGAAATAATCTTTATTCAAACAAAGTTAATGTAAGCACTTTTGAATAATCATATTCTTTTATTCTAGCACTCATTCAAATTTAAAAGAATCATTTATTAATGTAGGACATTTTAGCCGCTTATGAAAGTCAAATTTTTAACATTACAATTTTTAATTTTTTCCCTACCGTCCAGTTCGGTATATAGATCCAATTGAGAAGAACTGACAAGGACGAAGTCGCGAGTACAGTTAGTTACATAAATCGTTAGCTAGTTATATAAAAAATCGTATTTTCGTTAATATGTAATATGTGTAATTGGGCATAATGCCTAATTTACACTCAGCCCGAGTGGGCAGGGAAGTGAGCACGGAAGTGAGTCATTTTAGCCATTTATGAACGTCAAATTTTTATATTATAATTTTTTCCCTACCGTCCAGTACAATATATACATCCAATTAAGAAGAACTGGCAAGAAGCTCAATCGTATTCGTTTTTTTAAAGCCAGTTTATTTACAATGTATATTTATATAGGTGTCTATGTCTAACATTAAATGAAAATCCCGTGCATGAACAACTATTGCCATGCACGCTAGTCATTCAAGTAATCGTTTAGTGAGTAATAAATAAATTCGGAACACAGACTCATCACAAGAAGAATGAGATTCAAACTTGCGTGTTGCTCTTTTAAAGAAATGTTGTTCTGAATTTTTTTTCATAATTGAAGTATACATACAATTCAATATCTAACAAAATGTAATATTAATAAGGTTGCAAATCAACTAATGCGAAGATAACGCTTGTCATAAACAGGGATCGGGCCAAGAAATGGAAAATGTGGTCATAACTCTGGAATTGCTCATAAATGAATAGTATATCGAAATTTTACCGGTACGAAACCGGTGACATCTGGTTCTGACCGGTTTTATGATCGCTATATTGCTATATTGTTGTATTATATTCCATAAAGAGATATATAATTATTATAATGTAATGGTGCACCCGCGTGCGCTGACGGTGTACGCTGGCGGGGCGCCAGTGGAGGATGATAAGATGAACATGAGATCAGGTCAGTTAGCACATCGTGAGAAATACACCAGGAATTTAGTATGATGGTTTCCAAAGAGAACCTGAAATGATACATTGCTAGCCATAGGGTTATTATTCAACATTACTAACATTTGACCCTAATAAATTAGTGCTGGTTGGTTGTTTGTGTTTGTGTAAGTTTCGACTTGTAAATGTGATCTTACAAGGATTACTTAAAAGAGCAACACGCATGTTTCTTGCTCGTTCTTCTTGTGATGAGACAGCTTTCCGAATGAGCGGTAGATAAAAAAATTGTTATGACTATTCAAAAGTGCTTAAATTAAGTTTATTTGAATAAATGATTTTCTATTCTATTCTGTTAACCTTCCCCTTTCTTAAGGGGCTATTTAGCCCAAAATGTAAGTGTACAAAATAAGTAATTATAGAGACATCGTATCGTTTATTGACTGGTTATCTAGACAACAATGAATAGCCTATATCAGTCCATCCCCACCTAGCCTAGATGCTGAATAGGCGCCGACAGCAGCTGGTCCAGGCGACGATACCAGTAGTAAACATTGTCCATCATAATTTTGTAGTGCGGGCGCCCTAATCGCACTAACACAGCCGAATTCCCATTTCCGTCTATGGTCTGCCTAACTCCTGGCTTGTATGCGGTAACCCGCTGCAAATTCTCGGCCAGGATCGATCTCTGAGTTATTAGTAATTGCCGTATTATGACGAGGTTGTCGTGTCATGGCATGTGTAAGAATTATTAAATAGTTGAAGTGTTTTATAACAATAATGCAATAAATCGATGTGGATGTGTATTTGAATAAGAATGAAAAATTATATTGGCATAGACTATAAATTACGAAGCGCCTAAAATATTTTCTTAGCAATAATTATAAGTATCGCATATGCTAATAGAGCGTTTCAGGCGTAGACAACATGTAATTGGGTAAGAGTACCGCCGTCGCCAATTTGTTATATCCAAAATAAGTAATTATACAGACATTCATATCGTTTATTGACAACTATAAATAGTCTATAACAATATTGCTACGTTTACATTCAGCCGCTTCCCCTGCCACTCGCGCTGCCAGTCCTTTGACTGGCGCACGAAAAACCGACAATCGAGGGAGCGCCGGGCAGCGCAAGTGGCAGCGCCAAT